CTTACTTCTCCATCGTTGTCTTGTACCAATTCGAGCACTAGTCCTAGCGGCCATTCTCCTCTTGTCAATGTGTCATCCATTATTAGAACGACCTCTCCAATTTTTGGCTTTTGACGAGTAAACGTTTTTTGGTTTATCCGTTTTTGATGAAAATTACGTAGTTCGAGAAGATATTGCTCACTCCAAATTTTCCACATGCTGTCACGGTAATATTGCTGCTGGAGAAAGTACTGTTTTGCTTCCTCTTTCGTCGAAATTGTGGGAAGATAGTCTGGGTCTCCTATCCTATCTTCTTCTTGTAGATTATTGATGTTTAAATTAGCTTTCGGTATTAGGAAGTCGATTGGTCTAAGAATAACCGAGTCTTCTATTGTGCTTCCCGCATATGTGAGCGGTCGCATATTTATCATCGCCTCGGTTTCAACGATAAGAGTTGCAAACCTGCGCTCTTCGAGTATCTTTCTCTTCATCATTTTGCGTAATATAGATTTCATTATTCCTATCATTCGCTCATAGAAGCCGCCTTTCCATGGGGATAGCGGCGTTATGAATTTCCAATCTATCTTTTCATTCGTTAGGAACGTGTGAATAGTATCGATGCATATGACGTTCTCCTCATTTTGTATGATGTCTTTGCTGAGTTTAAAGTTTGTTGCATTATCCGATATGATTTCTTCTGGTCTTCCTCTTCTTGCAATCAACCTTCGTAGACTATGTAGTGTTTCAACTGCACTAAGATTGTTTACGACTTCCAAGTGTACCGCACGCGTTGTCATGCATGTTGCTAACAGAATCCATCGCTTACAATGTTGCTTTTCAGAATCGATGATTCGAAACGGCCCCGCAAGATCGATACCAACATGCGCAAAGGGACGCGATGGTTCAACACGACTATGCGGCAACGGGGGAGAATCAGGATAGAAGTAAGGTCTACCATTCCATCGTTTGCATTCTATGCATTTCCGAATAAAGTTTTTTACTATTTGTCTACCTGTGGGTATCCAAAATCGTTGTCGGATTTCTGCTAGAGTGCAGTTTACTCCCTGATGTCCACATTTACGGTGGCTCTCTTGTATGAAGAGGTCTGTAAGTGGATGTTTCGGCGGTAAAATTAT